AGGGGTCCCTAGGGATGCCAGCAGGGCCTCGACAAATGCCAACAAACGCATCTCCCGCAACATAGTTTCTGAGACATGGAAGTTCTATATCTTCAATGTACAATTTACATTCCTTCCACTACACATTAAAAAGGTTTCCCTCGCTCGAAAGCCAGTTGAATCCGCCTCTAGGGGGCGGTGCTCATCTCCGTTCCCAAGCCAAAGAGCCAGCACTGTCCAAAGACGTTTCCGTGGTCAGGTGGGCGGCATGACTCGACGCCGAGGCGCATGGAACACTCTTACCTTCCCACCGATGTGGTACCTATTTATCTCCTTGCAATTTCTTGTTTTCGAACTGCTAGGTTGACAGGAGCTGGGGCCAGAGAGGGGAGCTCACTCCGTCACGCGGCACTCGGGTCTCGAACTGCCACACTACAGACACTTCTGGTCTGCAGCTTAGCGTCTTAACCTCTGAGCCACCACGCCCCCTCCACTACACATTACACTTACCCAAAAAAGCCTTCAATCTCTTATCCCTTTAATCGCTGGCATCTGCCTTACAATCTTTCCAGAATCTAAGACAAGACGAGGGTAGCAGCCAATGTTCCCTCTAAGCTGTGGAGTCCTGTGAGCAAAGATTCTCCTTTGTGAGCTACTGGCATTAAAGCTGTGAGCCAGCGATTTGGCAACTGCATAAATTAGTCTGCTCTGGAGCCACATCTTTCCTGAGCGAAGACAAAAATGTGTGAGCCGGAGGCTAAAAAACGGTGAGCTAGCTCACACTCACTCAGCTTAGAGGGAACACTGGTAGCAGCTATCGCGCTGTCCCGTTTTAGAAAACCACGCGCCTTACTTGAGCTACACAACTTAACCAAAAACATCTTCGCTCCTTCCCGCCTGGCGAAAAGCCTGACCGTCTTATCTTCCTAGGAATGATGCTTTGAAGACGGCGGTGTTCTAAGCTGCTTTTTAAAACGCTCTCGTTCTTAACCATTCTCAGCTGTGAGGGAGATTATTTTTAAAGGGCCAGTTCTTATCATTCGGATGTAAATACATCAGAAAGTAAGTAAGATTGTCTGGTATAGCTACATCGGAACAACAGGAATTGTCCCTTAAAAAAAAAAAGCACGGGGGAGGGGCCAAGGTCTCCGGGGGAAACCATGGGGCAAGCCCGATGTGGATTGGGGCCTCACAGCAATTTTTAAGGGACGACCAATGCTTCTAAAACGGCAGCGGCCCATCCTACGGCCACCGCTGCCGTTTTAGAAGCAAACCACCATTTGTGGTTTGCTCTAATTTGTTCTCTGATCAAAGAGTGGAAAGCTGCTAGGTAAAAGGTGGTGGATTCTGATTAAGAGGGAACTTGGAACCATCAAAGGCCCCAGGTTGGGAGCCATGCTCCCTCTAAGCTGTGGAGTCTCGTGAGCAAAAATCCTACTTTGTGAGCTGCCGGCATTAAAGTTGTGAGCGGGTTCTTTGGCTGCTGCATAAATTGGTTTGCTCTGGAGCCCTCCTTCCTGAACTAAGACAAAAATGTGTGAGCTGGAGACTAAAAAAACTGTGAGCCAGCTCATACTAACTCAGCTTAGAGGGAACACTGGTTGGGAGATCAGGGGGGCCGTGAAGTGGCTGTACAAGTCTTTGTAGGGGGGGCGCAGATGGGTCATACAGGAGCCTGTTGGATAGGCTCGCCAAGACCTTCCTGGGAAATACTTGGAGATTTGGGGGCGGAGCCTGAGGAGGGCGGGGTTAGGGAAAGGGAGGGGCCCCAGTGGGGTACAACGTCGTAAGAGTCCACCCTCCAAAGCAGCCATTTTCTCCAGTGGAACTGATCTCTGATGTCTGGAGATCAGTTGAGATTTCCGGAGGTCTCTAGCCCCACTGGAGGTGGACAACCCTCCTGTTGGAGGTGTGGAGTAACAACATCAAGCTCGGCATGCTGGGTCTATCTGTGCAAGCCATCCTTCAGTCTTCAGGCTCTTAACTGGCTAAGGGAGGACAAAGAGCCCGTCACTGGCTCTTCTCCTTCAGGACTAGCACCTCTGTGTGACTCAGAGTGTTGGACTGGATGGGCCATTGGCCTGATCCAACATGGCTTCTCTTACATTCTTATGTCTGGGGGCAGCAATGCTCTGTCTTCTTGGTGCCTGGGGGGGCACAGTGGGAGGGCTTTTGGAGTTCTGGCTCCACTGGTGGATCTCCCGATGGCCCCCGGGTTTTGGCCACTGTGTGATACAGAATGTTGGCCTGGAGGGGCCATTGGCCTGATCCAACATGGTTTCTCTTATGTTCTTATATCTGGGGCAGTGATGCTCTGTCTTCTTGGTGCTTGGGGGGCAAGAGTGGGAGGGCGTCTGGAGTTCTGGCCCCACTGGTAGACCACCCAATGGTCCCCGGGTTTTGGCCACTGTGGGACAGAAGAGTGTTGGACTACATGGGCAATTGGCCTGATCCAACATGGTTTCTCTTATGTTCTTATATCTGGGGCAGTGATGCTCTGTCTTCTTGGTGCTTGGGGGGCAAGAGTGGGAGGGCGTCTGGAGTTCTGGCCCCGCTGGGGGACCTCCTGATGACCTCTGGATTTTGGCCCCTGTGTGACAGAGCAGTGGACTGGATGGTCTGTTGGCCTGATCCAACATGGCTTCTCTGATGTTCTTACTCATAACCCTCTAGCATGGCTTTGGGAATCTGGAAGGAGAGCATTGGCTGGGCCTGGATCACACCCACTGGCTGACCCGACAGGGCTCTTACGTGCTGCGAGTGCTTCTGGAAGACTGGAACGGGCGACAGGCCCAGGCGAGTTACGACACTTTTGCCCTGGCGCCCGAGAATGATTTCTACCGGCTGCGTCTGGGGCGCTACCAGGGCAGCGCCGGCGACTCCCTCTCCTGGCACAACGGGCGACAGTTCAGCACGCTTGACCGTGACCACGACGCTTACTCCGGTAAGGGGACGCAGAAGAGCTGGAAGAGAGAGATAGGAGGGAAGGAACACAAAGAGATAGACAGCAGGCATTTGTTAGTGACATTTCCCCCCCTCACCTTTTCCGCTGTCCCCTTTTATCCTCACTAGAATCCCATGAGGTACTTTGATCCAAGATATGATGACTGTCCCAAGGTCACCCTGCAAAGGTTGTAACTTTGTGGGGATTCGAACCCGGCTCTTGCTGGTCATAACCTAACACTCCAGCCTCCATACCGGAGTCCCCAAACTTTTACAGCCTGTCAGCAACTTTGGAGTTCTGAGACAGTGGGGTGGGCGCAGCCACAAAAAAAGAGAGCCAGTTTGGTGTAGTGGTTAGGAACACTGACTCTAATCTGGGAGAAGTGGGTTTGATGCCCCGCTCCTCCGCATGCAGCTGCTGGTGTGACCTTGGGTCAGTCACAAGTTATCTCAGAGCTGTTCTCTCAGGAGCAGTCCTCGGGAGGGCTCTCTCAGCCCCACCGACCTCACAGGGTGTCTGTTGTGGGGAGGGGTTCTGTGTCACCCACAGGGACCATGTTGGGGACCCCCCACCCTATACTATGCTGGCATATGGGAGGTGGTGGGCTCTCCTTTTTTGGAGGTTTTCAAACAGAGGCTAGAATCACAGAATCACAGAGTTGGAAGGGGCCATACAGACCACCTAGTCCAACCCCCTTCCCAATGCAGGACCAACCTAAAGCATCCCTGACAAATATTTGTCCAGCCTCTTCTTGAAAGCTGCCACTGAAGGGGAGCTCACCACCTCCCTAGGCAGCTGATCCCACCCTGACCGTGAAAAAAGTGTTTCCTCATATCCAGCCGATACCTTTCTGCGTGTGATTTAAACCCGTTGCTCCGGGTCCTCTCCTCCGCTGCCAACTGGAACCGCTCCTTGCCCTCCCCAAAATGACAGCCTTTCAGATATTTAAAGGGAGCAATCCTATCCCCCCTCAACCTCCTCTTCTCCAAACAAAACATTCCCCGGGCCCTCAGCCTTTCCTCGTAGGGCTCGGTCTCCAGACCCCTGATCACCCTCGTCGCTCTCTTCCGCACCCTCTCGATTCTGCCCACGTCCTTTTGGAAGCGAGGCCTCCAGAACTGAACGCGGTACTCCAGGTGCGGCCTGACCAAGGCAGTATACAGAGGGGGCTACGACCTCCTGCGATTTCGATGCTGTGGCCCTTTTAATACAACCCGAGACGAAGTTGGCCTAGACGGCAATCTGACAGGCATGCCGATTCTGTGAATTTAGGCCGATCACGAGAGGGAGGGCGGAAAGGGTTGCCTCGGGGCTTAGTTCAGACCAGCACGGCCACCCAACTGACTGTGTCTGCTTCAGGTGGACACGGATGCCAGCTCAGAAGTGACTACAACCCCAGAGGTGTCTAGAGGTCACCACGGGGTAGAGGGCAGCCTTTGGGTCTTCCCAGGTTGGGCTCGATCGGCACGAAAGGCTTTGGCAATCCATTCTCTGACCCCCCCTTTCCTCTTCCCACAGGGAACTGCGCCCACTACCAGAAAGGGGGCTGGTGGTACAACATGTGTGCCCACTCCAACCTGAACGGCATCTGGTACAAGGGTGGCCATTATCGAAGCCGCTACCAGGACGGCGTCTACTGGGCGGAGTTTCGTGGTGGCGCCTACTCGCTCCGCAAGGTGGCCATGATGGTCCGGCCCACGCCGAGCACCTAGTTCCCCCTCTGCGGGGGAGGCTAGGAAACCACATGCTGAGGGAGAGTACAGACATACTTAAGAACGGGAGTTACCCTGCCCGGGAGACACAGCTACCACACCGTCGTCAGATGTACCCTCTCCTCTCTGGGGCAGAGCTTGGGGGGAAGCCAGTTCTGCCAGTCCGCTTCTCAGTCTGGTTGGGCACGGCAGTGACGGCCTGAGGATCTGTGACATCCACCGGAACATCAGCAGAGCCCTGCTGGGTCAGACCAGCAGTTCATCCAGTCCAGCATCCCGTCTCAGTCAGTGGCTAACCAGTTCCTCTGGAGGGCCAACAACAGGGCAGAGAGGCCGAGGCCTTCCCCTGATAAGGACATCAGAAGAGCCCTGCTGAGTCAGACCAGTGAGGATCCCTCTAGTCCAGCCTCCCGTCTCACACAGGGGCCAGCCAGTTCCTCTGGAGGGCCAACAACAGGGCAGAGAGGCTGAGGCCTTCCTCTGATGTTGCCTCCTGGCTCTGGGATTCAGAGGTTTACTCCCTTTGAATATAGGGGTTCCCTATAGTCACCATGGCTAGTAGCCAGCGGTAGACCTGTCCTCTTTGAATCTGTCAGATCCCCTTTTAAAGCCATCTATGCCTGTGCCCATCACTACATCCTCTGGCACCCATGAACCCACCCAACCACCCCTCCTTCTTGGAAGCAGTTTTTTCCCCTGTTTTTCAGGGGAAGATTGTCTGATGTGGGGTCCAGTGGTTGTGTCTTAGGCCTAACTGTGTGAGCCACGTGACATGAATAGAATCTGACCCAACTCGCAGTCACGGGTACATCGGGGGACTCACCTTAAAAACTGCTCTGGCTTTCAGTGTGGCCCGGAGGACTCTGCCTTCCCTCCTGCAAAGTACTGAGACTGACGCATCCTCCGAGTGATTTCAGCTCATACTTTATTTAAGTGATTTCAGGAAAAGAGAGATACAGTAGCTAGCCTGAAGGCAAGGGCCAGCTTGCCCGGGATCCCTGCAGCTGCAGGGCGCCCGGGCAAGCCAAGGGAAGGCACGGGGTGTGGCCTAATATGCGAATGAGCTGTGCTGTCAAGGGTGTGGCCTAACATGCTAATGAGTTTCTGCTGTTGGGTGTGGCCTAATATGCTAATGCGTTCCTGCTGGGCTTTTTCTACAAAACCACCCCTGACCACACCCATTACACGCACCCACACCCGTGATAGGCTATATACAATAGTTACAATCTCATAGGTTTCTCGTTAGAATCCCTACTCGCCGGTTGGCAGGTTTTCGGATCCTAGGACTCTATTGTCCCTGGTAGTGAAGCGACGCTAGTTTGTCGGGCAACGTGGCGGCCCGCCCGCGGTTCAACTAGTACACAACACCTCCCATGCCCTTTTCTCCAGTGGAAATGGTCGCAGGAAAGCCGTTTGCCCCTTCCTGGACGGCACATATCCCCGGGTCATGAGACCGAGGACACGTCTCACATAGTGCAAAGGCGGGGCCGGGGAAGGGAGGGGTGGGCTCCCTACTGGCTTCTGTTTCAACGTATGTCTGGACTCTCCCAAGACACACTCACATCCATGTCTTACAGCAGTAGGGACAGAGACACCCTGTGGCGGAACAGAACCCTGCTGCAATGCAAGATTTCTTTGGTTTGTAAGGATACCAGCGGAAGACTAATCAAAACTGTTGCGGCAAACCTAGTCTGGAGGGAAGTTCACTGCCGGATCACGGCCGTGCCACCGTTCAGAGAGGCCTGGGAACAGCCGGAGGATAGATCTGTTCAAGAAACGGTAAGGCTGACATAGTGGGATACGGCGATACTGAGCATTCTAAAGTTTGTCCTGTTCCTGGTGATCTGTCCCAGTCTGAACCGACTTTTCCCAGACAGCGAAGCCACAGTGGAGCAAAACAGGACTTTGAGTCGCGATTTTGTGTAAAAAGCAGTCCCTCAGCTGGACGCCGTGCGGTACGATCTGCGGAGTTCAGCAGCGGTTTGTTCTGTAACCACATTGCAGGGGTCCCCGACCTTTTTGAGCCTGCAGGCACATTTGGAGTTCCAACACAGCATGGTGGGTGCGGCAAGAAGATGGCGGCCGCAGGAGGCGGGGCCAGTTACAAAATGGCTGCCGCAGCTTACCTTCAGTCGGACAGTGAAGATCCTCGGGCTGTGGTGGCCGCTGCTGCCAAAGCAACGTTTTTAAAATCTGCACAGTGGTTAAGTGCGCGGACTCTAATCTGAGAGAACCGGGTTTGATCCCCCACTCCTCCACTTGCAGCTGCTGGATGACCTTGGGCAAGCCGTAGTTCTGTCAGAGCTGTCCTTGGAAGAGCAGTTTCTGTCAGAGCTCTCTCAGCCCCACCTACCTCACAGGGTGTCTGTTGTGGGGAGGGAAAGGGAAAGGGGTTTGTAAGCCGCTCTGAGGCGGGGTATAAATCCAATCTCCTCCTCCTCCTTCTCAGCTATTCTTTAATGACAGTTTGCTGGATGTCTTGCTGAACTAGAATTCGTTAGCAAATTCAAGACAATGTGCCCCAAAGGTCAATAGGGACCAAAGGTTCTTAACTCACTGCAGGTCTTCTTCTTCGACTTTGCTGGGAGGGCCCCCACTTTCTAAAAATACTTGCCAGGCATCAGGAAGTGTGTCGGTGGGCAATCCCTGCTTTATTGCATCTGCCGCATGTTTAGGCTTTCCTTTGGAAGGGATGTTTCTCGAAAGAGGCTTACCTCCTCTCCTAGATCTCTGTAATGGCATTTCATATCCCGCACCCCACCCCGCACGTTCCCAAAGAAGTCTGCTCCGGAGAAAATGAAATCCCGAACCCAGAATAAATGAGATGATTCATCAACCAAGGCAAATGTATTTATTTTGCACGAGCCGGATTGCTTTGCGAGTCGGTGGTGTTCCTTCGGCCATCCCGAAAACCCTCTGGAAAGGCAACGTGGGCTGCCCTCAAGATAAAGTATGCCAAAGTATAATCTGTCCACCTTTGCTGAGTCTTTCTGTTTCATTCTGAATGCCAGCAGAGTCTCTCCTGATAACTCCTCAACCAGGACGCAGAAACCCAGCCTCCCAAATGCATTTGTGGAGCTGGGTTCAAATCCAGTGAGAAGGCAAACCATGGGCACGACTCAGCTTCTGTGGCAGAGTTCCGGCTGAGGGAGCTGGAGTCCAGTGTGGCACCTTAGAGACCAAAGGGAGCTTTGATTCTCGAACGTTTACACCCCAGAAACCTTGTTGGTCTCTAAGGTGCTACGGGAGGGACTCAAATCTAGCTCTGACGAAGGTTGCTTTGAGTCTCAAAAGCTCATACGCCAAAAATCTTCTTGTTCTTTTTTTTTTTTTTGTAATTTTTTAACTACAAAAAAGTACGGAAAGGGAAACTATAAACTACAGGAGAAAGATAAACCACTAAAAACCCAAGAGGGGGTGGTCATATAATGATTACAAAAAAGTAGCTTTAAATCATAATAAAGATTGGTTTGCTACATTGAATGTGATTGTTAAGGTCGCTTAAAAAATTTCAAATCCCGGTATTCTGACTTAGTAAGAAACAAAACAACGCTTAAATATTAAGAAACAAGACCAAACTTCAGAGAAAATTGGCATCTCATTTGCCTCTTCTTTCCCTCAATTGATATCCTTGCTTGGGGTGCAGCCGCCCCACATTCCGAATCCGAGTCTCCTCCAGAAAATGTTTCATCATCGCTCCCCTTGTTGCTCTTCTTGTCCCGTCGTTCTTTAAGATGCTACCAGACTACGGTGGCCAGGTCCCTCGGACCTGCCGGCAGGGAATGGGGGGGGAACTTACTGGGGGCAGGGAGGAATGTTGAAAGTAAAATAGGAGGAGACGCTCTGGTTTTTGGTCACAACTCTATGGTAGAATTAGCTTCTACCAAATTCCGGCCAAAAACCTAGAACGTCGCCCCCAACATGCCTATGTCACTTCCTGGTCATGTGGGCACGTTGCATTGAATCTCCACATTCTACCCTGTTGGGGGAAGGTGATTCCTTCCCACCGGCCGGTGGAAGAGAGGTGAGGCCCAAAAGCAGGGGAAGCCTCCCCATGGTGGGGGGTCTGGCGTACCTATACTGGACTCAGATCCAGCTCTGCTAAAGCCTTGACTCTCAAAAACTCACACCCCGAAAATCTTGTTCATCTCTGGACTTGAATCTAGCCAGTTTGGTTTAGTGGTTAGGATCGCGGACTCTAATCTGGGAGAACCCGATTTGATTTCCCACATGCAGCTGGCTGGGTGACCTTGGGTCAGTCACAAGTTATCTCAGAGCTGTTCCCTGAAAGAGTTTTTTTGTAAGAGCTCTCTCAGCCCCACCTACCTCACAGGATGCCTGTTTCGGGGAGGGGGAGGGAAAGGAGTTTGTAAGCCGCTCTGAGACTCCTTCGGGTAGTGAAGGGTGGGGTATAAATCCAATCTGCTCTTCTTCTCTGATGAAGGGAACTTTGACTCTCAAAAGCTTATACCCAAAAAATCTTGTTGTTATCTAAGGTGTATTCTCGGTGCTTGGGAGCCAGCAGCGGGAGGGCTTCTGGAGTTGTGGCCCTGTCTCCCAGACTTACAACTGATTTCCTGACTGTGCAATGCTCTTATCAGCTTCAAGAGGGAACTGGATAAATATAGAGAAAATTGGCATCTCATTTGCCTCTTCTTTCCCTCAATTGATATCCTTGCTTGGGGTGCAGCCACCCCACATTCCGAATCCGAGTCTCCTCCAGAAAATGTTTCATCATCGCTCCCCTTGTTGCTCTTCTTGTCCCGTCGTTCTTTAAGATGCTACCAGACTACGGTGGCCAGGTCCCTCGGACCTGCCGGCAGGGAATGGGGGGTGAGCTTACTGGGGGCAGGGAGGAATGTTGAAAGTAAAATAGGAGACGCTCTGGTTTTTGGTCACAACTCTATGGTAGAATTAGCTTCTACCATAGAGTTTTGCCCAAAAACCAGAGCATCGCCCCCAACGTGCCTATGTCACTTCCTGGTCACGTGGGCACGTTGCATTTAATCTGTTAAAAAGGTAAAGGTTCCCTTGCTCGAATCTGTTAAAAAGGTCAAGGTTCCCTTGCTCGAAAGCCAGTCGAATCCGACTCTAGGGTTGCGGTGCTCATCTCCGTTTCAAAGCCGAAGAGCCAGCGCTGTCCGAAGACGTTTCCATGGTCATGTGGCCGGCATGACTAGACACCAAGGCGCACGGAACGCTGTCACCTTCCCACCGAAGTGGTACCTATTTATCCACTTGCAATTTCTTGCTTTCGAACTGCTAGGTTGGCAGAAGCTGGAACTAGAGACGGGAGGTCACTCCGTCATGCGGCACACTCGGGTCTCGAACTGCTGAACTACCAACCTTCCACAGCCTGCAGTTCAGCGTCTTAACCACTTGAGCCACCGCAGCTCTACCCTGTTGGGGGAAGGTCATTCCTTCCCGCCGGCCGGTGGAAGAGAGGTGAGGCCCAAAAGCGGGGGAAGCCTCCCTGTGGCGGGGGGGTCTGGCGTCCCTGTACTGGACTCAGATCCAGCTCTGCTAAAGGGAAGTCCTGACTCTCAAGAGTTCATACACCAGAAACCTTATGGGTCTCTAAGGTGCCCCTGGATTTGAAGCTGCCTCTTCTACTGCAGACCAAGACAGCCACCCTCTGAAACCCACTGACTGTGAATTTTGATAACTGATGACCCACCTCAGCCCTGCCCTGGATGGCCCAGCCTAGCCTGATCTTGTCGGATCGTGGAAGCTGAGCAGGGTCAGCGCAGGCTAGTGTTTGGAAGGGAGACCTCCAAGGAAGAGTCCTGACCAGGGCTATTTTTGGGCAGGAACGCACAGGAACGGAGTTCCGGCTGGCTCCCAAGTTGGCCACACCCAGCAGGAACTCATTAGCATAATAGGCCACACCCAACAGCAGAAACTCATTAGAATTGGCTACATTAGGGGTGTGTGGCCTAACATGCAAAGGAGTTCCTGCAACAAAAAATGCCCTGCTACAAAAAAAGGCCCTGGGTTTTGACAACAAACAAGGTAAACAGAATAAGAAGCAAAAGGTGGGTGTGGCTGGATGACCACACTTCTGGTAACATGGGGGTGCGGCCTAATGTGGGAGGGCTTCTGGATTTCCGGCCCCGCTGGTGGACCTCCTGATGGCCCCTGGGTTTTGGACCACTGTGTGACACAGAGCGTTGGACTGGATGGGCCACTGGCCTGATCCAACACGGCTTCTCTTATGTTCTTAAGGTGCTTCCCGGACTCTAATCTAGCACGTCTACCACAGTCCAACATTGCCGCCTTCCCAAAATTAGTTGGATGAGGAGCCACAGGTTCCAGCCGGCCTGCCTGCAGGGGTTGTGCCACAGTCAGACAATTCACGACAGTGCCGAGCAGGACTGAGCACCTTCTTCCGTCTCCTCTCCACCGAGCTGCTTATCGGCCCAAATGCCCACGGGCTGATAAGCCTATTTGCATGCAGATCACGGCCACCAAGCCCACCATCTCTGTGTTCTTGTGTACATCTTCCACAGATGGGAACTTAGAAACAAGCTTTTATGTCAGTTCGGTGTCATGGTTAAGTGCGCAGACTCTAATCTGGGAGAACCGGGTTTGGTTCCCCACTCCTCCACTTGCAGCTGCTGGATGACCTTGGGCAAGCCATAGTTCTGATAAGAGCTGTCCTTGAAAAAGAGCAGTTTCTGTCAAGAGCTCCCTCAGCCCCACCTCCCTCCCAGGGTGTCTGTTGTGGGGAGGGGAAGGGAAAGGAGGTTGTACAATGCTCTGAGATTCCCCTGGGTAGTGCAGGGCAGGGTATAAATCCAATCCAATCTCTCCTCTCCTTTTAGAAGCTGCTGCCTGTGACCAATTCCAGGAGGAGCAGGACAATCAAAGCCTTGTAAATTCCTAGAGGAGGGGCTGGATCCCACCCCCTGTCCTCCCAACTCCATCCGGCACAGTTTGAGCTATTTACTTGTGGATTTATTAAAGTATTTCGACCCCACCTTTCCTTTTGGCTCAAGTCTGAAGCCTCCCTCCAATGTCAGCGGCTCTTTCGCTGGAGGAAGAGTTGCTTAAGTCGGAGGAAGGCTGCTGAGGCTGGAGGGAGAGCCACGTGGCAGATGGCTGGATCCACGCCAGTCTTCGAAGGGGGTTCTCCCCGGCACGGGGATGCATTCTAAGCAAAGAGACACAGTGTGGTGTAGTGGTTAGAGTGTCAGACTAGGATCTCTGAGACCCAGGTTTTTTAGCCTCCGGCTCACACATTTTTGCCTTAGCTCAGGAAGGATGGCTCCAGAGCAGACTGATTTATGCAGCAGCCAAATCGCTCGCTCACCACTTTAATGCCAGTAGCTCACAAAGTAGAATTTTTGCTCACAAGACTCCACAGCTTAGAGGGAGCATTGGTGTGGTGTAGTGGTTAGAGTGTCAGACTAGGATCTCGGAGACCCAGGTTCGAATCCCTGCTCGTACCACGGAACCTTGCTGGGTGACCTTAGGCCAGTCACACATTCTCAGCCTAACCTACCTCACAGGGTTGTTGTGAGGATAGGATGGAGGAGTTATGTAAGCCACCTGGAGTGCCCATTGGGAAGCAAGGTGGGGTATAGATAGAATCACAGAATCAGAGAGTTGGAAGGGACCTCCGGGGTCATCTAGTCCAACCCCCTGCACAATGCAGGATATTCACAACTACCTCCCCCCCTCCACACCCCATAACCCCTGTTCATAAGAACATAAGAGAAGCCAATGTTGGATCAGGCCAGTGGTCCATCTAGTCCAACACTCTGGGTCACACAGTGGCCAAAAACACCAGGTGCCCTCAGGAGGTCCAGCAGTGGGGCCAGGACACTAGAAGCCCCCCCCCTTTGGCCCCCCCCCCTGCAAGCACCAAGAAGACAGAGCATCACTTGCCCCAGACTGAGAGCCCCTATCTATCCCTTGTGGCTAATAGCCACTGATGGACCTCTGCTCCATATGCTTATCTAATTCCCTCTTGAAGCCGTCCATGCTTGTAGCCACCACCGCCTCCTGTCCCATGTCCAGAAGATGACAAAAACCCTCCAGGATCCCTGGCCAAACTGGCCTGGAGAAAAATGGCTTCCTGGCCCCCGAAGTGGTGATCAGCATTTCCCTCGGAGTGTAAGAAAGGCCCACAAGAACTAAGCCCTGAGGCCACCCTTCCTGCCCTCTCTCTCCTGATCTGCCAAAGTTCACAGAAACCGCATTGCTGTCAGATGGCCATCTAGCCTCTGCTTGAAAACTCCCCCCCCCCAGAAGGAGAGCCCGCCACCTCCCGAGGAAACCTGTTCCCCTGAGGAACCGCTCGCGCTGTCGGCAAATAAATAAAATAAACAATCTTAGTGCTGGTCGATGGCCCTTAGACCCACTGAAATCAGATAATGCATCACACAGCAGTTCCATGAGGGGGGAAAAAAGAGTAATTTTTAATTGTCATCGAACACACCCCGGGGGAAACAGTAAGGTCGGTAGCTTACCTAATACATTCACAATTGATAGAAAACACATGACCACAAACGAGTTACAGGAAAACAATCATGCGGAACTGAGACGCTTTCAGCCTGGAGGCCAGGTTCTAACACAAGACAGACCTTCGCCAAAGTAAGGCACAGTTTTCACCCGTAAGGTAGGCGCCGATACAGCTTCCAAAGAGCAGCACTGGGAAGGAACAGACGCTAAGCGCGGGGTTCTTTGGAAAGATTCGCATACAGCTGGTCAGGAGTCAGGGAGGTGGGCTCTCAAAATCGGGACTGTGAGCTCTGAGAATGGACACTGGTCACAGGCAGGGCTCCCTCTAAGAGATTAGTTCCCCTGGAGATAACAGCTTCTTTGGAAGGTGGACTCTATGGCATTGTTCCCCCTGAAGTCCTCTTCTCCTCTCTAAATCCCGCCTTCCCCGGGCTCCGCCCCCCACATTCCCAGGAATTCTCTGGGAGATCCCTGGGAAACTACACTTCCCATCTTCTTAGAAGAGACTACGACACTTGGAGAATGAGGCTGGGAGAGGCCCTCCCCAGAGCAGAGACCAACGCGAGACAACAAAAGCAAAATCGGGCCAGAGCGGGAGAAAAGGGCATAGTGCAAAGCCAGTCGTTGGCCCAGGAATGGTCCGCAGAAAAAGAGACAATGGAGGAGGATCCGTGCACAGTACTACAACCGTGGCTTGGCAAACGGCAGGCAGACTCCCTCTTGCCCCCGCTGCTGGCACCGGGATGTAATCTGGTATGCCCCTCCATCACGCGTAGGGGTTAATTGCTGCTGCCCCCGTCGTCCTCTTCGTCCTCCTCCTGCAGGTCTTCCAAAATGAGCTTGTCGATGTCGAATTGGGCCAGGCTGCCCTGGCTCAAGCAGGTGGCCACGGTGGAGCCCGTGCTGGCGTGCTCTTGGCAGGGGTGGATGACTTTGGGCAAGCCCCTCCTCGACCGGCTTCGAGGGTGCACGCAGTGGGTGCCTGGAACGTGGGGCTCTGGGAAGGGGGAGAGAAGAACGGACGGTTAAGACAAGCCAACGCATTCGCCACCGGCCGTGCTTTGGTGATGGACGCAGGTGGCCCAGTTTTTGCCAGAACTTGGCACGCGCGCCTGTCAACCGTATTTAATTTTTAAAAATTTACTTCGAAGAATTTTACGCCACCTTTCTACCTGATTAGTGAGCACAAAAATAGAACACTGACACATTTGAATAGTTAAAAACAGAGTCAAAATTGTAACAGAATTCAATTAAAAACACAGAAACACCACCGGAAGGAGGGTCAGTGACTGTTATGGGGGGGGTATTGTCAGACGAAACAAAGAAACCCTTCACCTGCTGACGACTGGCGAAGGACAGCAACAGAGGTAGACAGGCAAATCTCCCTGGCGAGGGAGTGCCAAAGTTTTGGGGCCACGACCAAGAAGGCCCTGTCTTGAGTTGCCACCGATCTAGCTTCATAGGGCATGGGCATCCGAAGGAGGGTCTCTGAAAAGGACTGGAGTGTATAGGAAGGTACGTACGGGAGGAGGTGGTCCTTAAGGATGTTGGTTCCAGGCCATACAGGGCTTTAGTGGTCAAAAGCAGAGCCTTGAATTCAGTCCAGAAAGAAACTGGATGGAACAAGACTGGAGTGATATCGTCCTTGTGACCTACTGCAATCAACACTCTGGCTGCATGATTTTGAACATCAGAAGAGCCCTGCTGGATCAGAGCCAGTGGTCCATCCAGTCCACCATCCTGTCTCACACTGTGGCAAAACAATTCCTCTGGAGGGCCAACAACAGGGCAGAGAGGCCGAGGCCTTCCCCTGAGAAGAACACCAGAAGAGCCCCGCTGGGTCAGACCAGTGAGGGTCCCTCTAGTCCAGCCTCCCGTCTCACACAGGGGCCAGCCAGTCCCTCTGGAGGGGCAGCAACAGGGCAGAGAGGCCGAAGCCTTCCCCTGAGAAGGACACCAGAAGAGCCCTGCTGGATCAGACCAGTGATCCATCTAGTCCAGCCTCCTGTCTCACACAGGGGCCAGCCAGTTCCTCTGGAGGGCCAACAACAGGGCAGGGAGGCCGAGGCCTTCCCCTCAGTCAGCACGGCTAGTTACCACTGACAGACTGATCCTCCACTAATCTCTCTAATCCTGTTTTCAAGATGTTTATTCCTGTGGCCGCCACCACGTCCTCTGGCAGCCCATGCCACCTTTTCATCCCTCTCTCTGTAAAGCAGTCTTTCCTTTTGTCCCTCCTGAACCAACAGCCCATCAGTTTCATTGGACGCCCTCGAGTTTCAGTATTTTCAGGAACACCAGAATTCTCTGTGAGCAGCCTTATTTCTCTTTAAGGGAGTGAGGTGGGTCAACATCCATACATGACAGGAAAGGAAGTAGAAGGAAGACTTCGTCCCCAGAGTAAGTACCTGTCCAGACCTTCCCTACAGCCATCGGGCAATCCATTAGTCAATAGGCTTCCCAGGGCTATTTTTGGGCAGGAACGCACAGGAACGGAGTCCTGGCTGGCTCCCAAGTTGGTCACGCCCAGCAGGAACTCATTAGCATAATAGGCCACACCCAACAGCAGGAACTCATTAGGATTGGCTACTGTTAAGTCCGTGCTTAACAAAATAGCCAGAGAGTGATTCAGCAAAACTCAGGTTTATTTCAGCTCGACGATCAACTTCTCTGACACGGTACAACTTCTCTGATAGCCCGAACAGCTTCCCATTGCAGCTGCTCGGTATTTAAACATTCCCGGCTAATATAGCCACGCCTACTATACAGTTAAACAACCTATCAGGTTGAGACAATAAGGACCAATCAGAGTCTTTCCCGCTTATACACATTTGAACCTGATTGGACGCAGTAGTCTTGAACTTCAATCCCTGTTCAAGACGAAGCTTAACATTGCTTCCTTATGAGATGATTCACAACCATCTTAATGCATTCTAGGCAGCACAGAATACATTACAGCTACATTAGGGGTGTGTGGCCTAACATGCAAAGGAGTTCCTGCTACAAAAAAGGCCCTGGGTTTGGACAACAAACAAGGTAAACAGAATAACAAGCAAAAGGTGGGTGTAGCTGTATGACCACACTTCTGGTAACATGGGGGTGCCGCCTAATGTGCTAATGAGTAGTGCAGTCAGGGGGTGTGGCCTAATATGCTAATGTGTTTCTGCAGCTGGGTGCGGCCTATTATGCTAATGAGTTCCTGCTGGACTTTTTCTACAAAAAGAGCCCTGGCACTCCTGAGTTCCCCAACATGGCGCCCACCAGCACTTTCCTTGGTTCCCACCAACATTTTCAGAAAGTGTGTGGGGCCTCTGCGAGCCCTCCTTCAAAGGCAAGGATTTGCCACAAGATAGGAGGAGTGGGAAGCATCCGGGCTTTCCCTTAGTCAGCGTGTGGTTCCACTCCCCCTCCAGGACCGCCTTCTTCCCATGAGGCGTGAACAGGGAAGTATTTTCTTGGGCTCCTCCTCCTGAGTCAGCATTTTGGTTTTGGCCCCGCCTCCTGAGGAAGCCATTTTGGAGTGGCACGCCTCAAAAGGGCTGGGGACCCCCCCCTTGCTACTCCTTTTTATCCCAAACACTTGACACAACCTTCCCAAAAGACTGCATGCACCCCTCTGCCAACCTTACCCATGTACACGGGATTGGATCCAGCGGGTTCATATTCTGATAATGGTGGCGCCTTTTCCCTTCACTGGAGGAAGGTGCCACCATTAGCTAGACTGGAGTCCCCAACTTTATGGAGTCTGTGGGCACCCTTTGGAATTCTAATAGAGCACAATGGGCGCAGGCACAAAATGGCCGCCACGGGAGGTGTGAGCCGGCTACAAAATGGCCGCCCCAGCGTCCCTTCAGTCACACAGTAAAGCTCCTTGGACTGTGGTGGCCGCTGCTGCCAAAGCAAGATTTTTAAAAATCTCCAGTAGCTAATCAGAAGCACTGCTGGGCCAAAGTCCCACCTACTTTCTAAAAACACCTGGCGAGTGCCAGAAAAGGGGTTAGAGGGCGCTGTGGTGCCTGTGGGCACAACGTTGGGGACCCCTGAGGTAGACTGAGCTGTAGAATCCCACCTTTGCATTGCCTGCCTAGCACACAGTGAACCACTGAGGCAGCTTGCGCTCGCAGCACGCTTGACCTCACCTCTGCGGTTATAACAATCCTCTGCGAAGCAAGAATGGGGTTGCCTGGTCCGCGGTCCCGGGACCTTGCGAGGTGAGATGATGTGGCTCGGGTAGACGGGGGAACGGCAAATGTAACAGGGAGACGGGGTCCCCATCTGAGCTAGGCCCCTGCAAAGGAGAGACGGAGAGAGTCTTGTTATGAGTCAATATATTATCCACGCAGTGTTCCCTCTAACCTGAGTGAGTGTGAGCTAGGTCACAGTTTTTTAGCCTCCGACTCACCCATTTTTGTCTTAGCTCAGGAGGGATGGCTCCAGAGCAAACTTAATTTCTGCAGGAGCCAAATCGCTGGCTCACAACTTGAATGCCAGCAGCTCACAAAGTAGAATTTTTGCTCACAAGACTCCACAGCTTAGAGGGAGCATTGTACCTGAGGTTTATTTTTCCCCCTTCTGCATCGATCTTATTATATTAGAGAAGCGACGACTGAGGGGTGACATGATAGAGATTTACGAAATTATGCATGGGATAGAGAAAGCAGAGGATAAAATTACTTTTCTCCCTTTCTCGCAAGACAAGAACTTGTGTGCACTCGATGAAAATGATGAGCAGTGGGGTTGGAACGGATAAAAGGTATTACTTCATCGCCCAAAGAGTCATTAACGTGCGGAATTCACTGCCACATGGACGGCTTCAAGAGGGGATTGGATAAACATCAGGAGCAGAGGTCCATCAGTGGCTCTTAGCCAGAAGGTAAGGATGGGAAAACTCTATCTGGGGCAGTGATGCTCTGTCTTCTTGGTGCTTTAGGGGGCAACAGTGGGAGGCCTTCTGGAGTCCTGGCCCCACTGGTGGAGTCTCTTTGCAGCTTACAATCTCCTTCCCTTCCCCTCCCCACAACAGACACCCTGGGAGGTAGCTCTGAGAGAACTGCCCTTGAGAGAACAGCTCTGATAGAACTTGCGACTGGCCCAAGGTCACCCCAGCAGCTGCATGTGGAGGAGTGGGGACTCAAACCCGGTTCTCCCAGATTAGAGTCCGCGCTCCTAACCAGTACACCAAACTGGCTGAGCTCCTGAGATCTGACATGATCGGGCTAGCCGGGGCCACCCAGGTCAGGCAAGAGACAAGCAGAGGTGGTTTGCCGTTGCCCCGCCTCTGCATAGGGACCCTGGTATTCCTTGGCAACACTGCATGCTTGTAAGCACTAAAGATGAAAAAGAAAATATAATAGTGGGAAGTGTTGCCAGCTCTGGTTTGAGAAATTCCTGGAGATTTGAGGTTGGAGCCTGGGGAGGAGGAGGAGAAAAAGAGGAAGAAGAGGAAGAAGAGATTGGATTTATACCCTGCCCTTCACTACCCGAAGGAGTCTCAGAGTGGCTTACAATCTCCTTTCCCTTCCCCTCCCCACAACAGACACCCTGTGAGGTAAAAGAAGAAGAAGAAGAGATTGGATTTATACCCCGCCCTTCACTACCCGAAGGAGTCTCAGAGCAGCCTACAAACTCCTCTCCCTTCCCCTCCCCACAACAGGCACCCTGTGAGGTAGGTGGGGCTGAAAGAACTGCCTGTGACAGAACAGCTCTGAGAGAACTTGCGACTGGCCCAAGGTCACCCCAGCAGCTGCATGTGGAGGAGTGGGGACTCAAACCCGGTTCTCCCAGGTTAGAGTCCGCGCTCCTAACCATGACACCAAACTGGAGGACTGGGTTGGGGAGAGGAGGGACCCCAGCGAGGTATGATAAGGCCAGAGTACCCCCTCCATTTTCTCCAGGGAACCTTTTCTCCATTGTCTGTAATCCTGAGAGATCGCCAGGATCCATCTTGCAGGTCTGCAACCCTACACCGAGACCCTTATGACTCATGTTGGGGGAGGAGGAAAACCGTTGCTCTGCTTTTCGGAACACAGAAGTGGAACCTGCTTCAAAAAGTCTGGGAACGGTTTCTGTCGATGCACCAAATGTGGCTTTTCCGGGGTTCAGTTCCGGGTACCCCCGAATGGCAAATGGGGACGGTGGGGGGGACAGGAAAGCCCCAGCCGCCTCCTCCCAAGGACCCACAATCCCTGCTTCTCACTTGAAGGTGTGTCCGCAGTTAGGGCAGTGGAACTCGGCGGTGCCCCACATCTTGTCGGCTGGCACTGGGTCATAGCGGGTCCCACACCGATGGCAACGGGAAACCTGCAGAAGACGTCACAGGAGAGAAAATCAGAAGAGCCCTGCTGGATCAGACCAGGGGTCCATTTAGCCCAGCATCCCACCTCACACAGGGGCCAGCCAGTTCCTCTGGAGGGCCAACAACAGGGCAGAGAGGCCGAAGCCTTCCCCTGATAAGGACACCAGAAGAGCCCTGCTGGGTCAGACCAGGGAGGGTCCCTCCAGTCCAGCATCCCGTCTCCCACAGGGGCCAGCCAGTTCCTCTGGAGGGCCAACAACAGGGCAGATGGGGGTTCCCTCTAGCCCAGCCTCCTGCCTCACACAGGGGCCAGCCAGTTCCTCTGGACGACCAACAACAGGGCAGAGAGTTCGAGGCCTTCCCCTGATAAGGACATCAGAAGAGCCCTGCTGGATCAGGCCAGTGAGGGTCCATCTAGCCCAGCATCCTCTCTCTCATAGTGACCAACCAGTTCCTCTGGAGGGCCAACAACAGGGCAGAGAGGTCGAGGCCTTCCCCTGAGAAGAACATCAGAAGAGCCCTGCTGGGTCAGGCCAGTGAGGGTCCATCCAGTCCAGCATCCCGTCTCACACAGGGGCCAGCCAGTTCCCCTTCAGGGCCAACCGCAGGACATACAGACTGAGGCCTTCCCCTGATAAGTACGTCAGAAGAGCCCTGCTGGATCAGGCCAGTGAGGGTCCCTCTAGTCCAGCATCCCGACTCACACAGGGGCCGGCCAGTTCCTCTGGAGGGCGAACGACAGGGCATAGAGGCCGAGGCCTTCCACTGATGTTGCCTCCTGGCTGTGGGATTTAGTGGATTAGTGCCTCCGAATGTGGAGGTTCCCCTCAGTCACCATACCTAGTGGCCATTGACTGACTTCTTCGCCATGAATCTATCTAATCCCCTTTTAAAGCTGTTTATTCCTGGGGCCATCACTGCATCCTCTGGCAGCGAACTCCACATTTTAATCTCGCACTGTGTAAAGTAGTACTTCCTTTTGTCCATCCTGAACCTACTTCCCATCGGCTTCACTGGATGCCCTCGAGTTCTAGTATTTTCAGAGAGGGAGGGGGGAAGGCTTCTTTTCTAGGGCAGAGGCCTGCCAGCTGGACAGAGAAATGGCAGGGATTCGTCTCAGGAAACCAGCCAACATGAGAATACAATCCCCACCGCCATGGGTCATTTCGTAGAAAAAGAGGTGCAGGAGCTCTTTAGCGTAACTCATTAGCATAACTTATTTGCATATGCCACACCCTCTGACATCACCGGAAGTGTGTCAGAAGGCAACACCCACCGCTCAGGCTCCACTGGACTGTTTTGGATTGCTGGCTATTGGGGGAGAGGGGAAACGTGCAGATCTGTCCTCACAGAGGAGGGAGAGCTTGTACCTGAATAAAACTTGGTCTTAAAGGTGTCACTGGACTACTTTGGACCGTGGGGCCACGGGGGGAGGGGCTCTGCAGCTTACCTGGCTGCTTCTTGCTCTGACTGAGGGCCGCTGGGAGAAGGGGGTGGGGCTCTAGGAACTATCTATATATCATTGAAGTCGAATTTTCATGCTAACCAAATCCAACAAAATGGCAAAACTACCTGGAGAGCAATGTTCCCTCTAAGCTGTGGAGTCTTGTGAGCAAAAATTCTACTTTGTGAGCTGCTGGCATTAAAGTTGTGAGCGAGTGATTTGGCTGCTGCATAAATTAGTTTGCTCAGGAGCCATCCCTTCCTGAGCGAAGACAAAAATGTGTGAGCCGGAGGCTAAAAAAACTGTGAGCTGGCTCACACTAACTCAGCTTAGAGGAAACAGTGCTGGCGAGCCCAGGCTCATCCCATCTCGTCAGATCTTAGTAGCTAAGCTGGGTTGGCTCTGGTTAGGACTTGGGAGGTGAGACCACCAAGAAAGTCCAGGGATGCTATGCAGAGGCAGGCAATGGCAAACCACCTCTGTCCATCTCTTACCTTGAAGGCCTGGTGGTCCTGGGGCCACCATAAGTCGACCTGATGTGCGTGGACCAGACTGGCCCAATCTTGTCAGGTCTTGGAAGTTAAGCAGTGTCAGCCTGGGTCAGGCCCATAGCTATGGGGGGGGGCTTTGGGGGGCTCTGCCTCCTTTCTTAAAGGCACAGCCCCACAGGATTTTCTCCTGTAAAGGCTTTTTCCAATCATTTTTAAACATTCCTTAAAGGCGTGTGCTCCTTTAAGAAGAGCAGGGTGCTGTAGTTGACTAATTCCCGTGCTGAGCAAGGGGGCTGGAGTAGGTGACCTCTAGGATCCCTTCTAACTCTGTGTCAAGAAACTGGTCTCCACTATACCAGAATAACTACTATAATAATGTACTTGATTGATTGGTATCTTGTCTGTAAACTGATCACTGTTCTATTCTTGACTATTGCTGAACTTATAAGATGTACGCTTTATTTGTTGTTGGTTTCTTACTTTTGAAAATAAAAATTATAATCTTTTTTAAAGAGAGTCTTCTCCAGCACCATAATAACTATGTTGTGTATTTATATTGATATTTATATTGTTGTTTTATCTACTGCTTTCTTATGTAAGCCGCCCTGAGCCTGCCTCAGCAGGGAGGGCGGGGTAAAAATCAAATAAATAAATAAAAATAAATAAATCAAAAGAAAAAAGAAAGAAACTGGTCTCCTTTAAGAGAGTTTGTCTGCCTCTTAGCTTTTTCGACCCCCACCTGCCGGCTTGTTATCAGAATTGTTGCTTAGGCTGGCAGAAGTGATTAACTTGCAGCAGCTGAGAACTGTCATCTCAAGTGGTTGACAGCTTGCAGTTTAGAGATCCAACCTGGTAACAGCTTTCTATTGGCTAGATGATTAAGAACACCTATGTAGAATAGACAGCTTGAGAAGACTCAGAGAGAGAGGAAACTGCCTCGAAGCTCTCTTCAACTTCTACCCTGCTGCTATGCTTCTAGGGACTCTGCTCATCAGGAACGCCAGTTGAGATACCAGAGCTACATGCCTAGGTTTTTTCTTCTGGTTGGCATTCCTTGCCGAACTGTATACATTCTCTCTCTTATCCATGTGTTGTTTTGTAAATAAAGTTTTATGTGTTTTTATACAAATTGGAGTGAGTTTACTGGCCAAACCCAGATCAGTATTTCCAGTGCCACGCCTACCATCCAGTGTTTCCTCTAAGCTGATTAAGTGTGAGCTAGCTGACAGTTTTTTAGCCTCCAGCTCACACGTTTTTGTCTCAGCTCAGGAAGGAGGGCTCCAGAGAAAACTAATTCATGCAGTAGCCAAATGGCTCGCTCACAACTTTAATGCCCAGTAGCTCACAAAGTAGAATTTTTGCTCACAAGACTCCACAGCTTAGAGGGAGCTTCATTCTCCCTTCCCCTCCCCCTCTTTCTCAGCTTGCTGTTGTCACACTCTCTGGGGCTAAGATTTGCAGAAGCCAGTCAGGGCTTTGATTTTAAAAGGCTCGATTCCGCAGTAGCTGAGTCATAATCCTCAGAATTCTGGCTTTTCTTTCTGCACTGAGAACTTCAGCCCCACCAGAAAAAAAATTGCCCCACAATCCACAGGCCTGGCCTGGGTTAGTACATCAAGGGAATCCGGGGTTGCTCTACAGAGGCAGGCAATGGCAAACCACCTCTGTGGGTCTCTTCCCTTGAAAACCCGACGGATTTAGCAGACGTCGGCTGTGACTTGATGGTTCTTCCCATCACCACCAGAAGAGAAGAGGATTGGATTTATACCCCGCCCGTCACTCGGAGTCTCAGAGCGGCTTACCAACTCCTTTTCCTTCCCCTCACCACAACAGACACCCTGTGCGGTAGGTGGGGCTGAGAGAGTTCTTTCCAGAAGTGCTCCTGAGAGGACAGCTCTGACAGAACTATGGCTTGCCCAAGGTCATCCAGCAGCTGCACGTGGAGGTGTGGGGAATCAAACCTGGTTCTCCCAGATTAGAGTCCGCACACTTAACCACTACACCAGTGGACCTTATCACAGTACACTGGTTTCCTGCTGCTGTATCCCTGAGTCTTGCTATTGGAACAGCTGCCCAAGGAAAATGCTGAGTCTCTCTACTGAAATGTTGTTTTTGTTGAAATGCTTTAATATTTCACGTCCACCACCTTGGAGACCCTCATCTGGGTGGCAAGGCGGGATGGAATTGATTTAAATAAAATAATTCAATGATATATTTAGGAAGAGGAAGAAGAAGAGATTGGATTTATACCCCGCCCTTCACTACCTGAAGGAGTCTCTGAGTGGCTCACAAACTCCTTTTCCCTTCCCCTCCCCTACCCTGTGAGGTAGAAGAAGAGGAGATTGGATTTATACCCCACCCTTCACTCCCCAAAGGAGTCTCAGAGTGGCTTGCAAACTCCTTTCCCTTCCCCTCCCCACAACAGACACCCTGTGAGGGAGGTGGGGCTGAGAGAGTACTTTCCAGAACTGTCCTTGACATAACAGCTCTAACAGAACTATGGCCTGCCCAAGGTCATCTAGCACCTGCAAGTGGAGGAGTAGGGAATCAAACCCAGTTCTCCCAGATTAGAGTCCACGCACTTAACCACTACACCAAACCCTATTGCCTGGTCCTTTCAGTTGGAGATGCCGGGGATTGGACCTGGGACCTTCTGCATGCCAAGCAAAGAACCAGCATGGTGTAGATGTAATGAGTAGAAGACTCTAATCTGGAGAACCAGGTTTGATTCCCCACTGTTCCTCCACAAGAAGCCTGCTGGGTGACCTTTGGGTCAGTCACAGTTTTCTCCAAACTCTCTCAGCCCCACCTGCCTCAAAAGGTGCCTGTTGTGGGGAGAGGAAGAGAAAGGCAACTGCAAGCAGCATTGAGATTCCTTAGAGTAGTGAAAAGCAGAGTATAAAAGCCAGCTTCCATATAAATAAAAGGATCAAACACTTTATTTGGTCCAATCGCTAACCCACACACACACACACCTGTTTCCGCTTTGGGACGCGACGCCACCACATACTATCGCAGGGCCGGCAAGAAAACTGGCAGTCTGATGGAGGGATGAGGTTGTTTTGGGCGTTGTTGAACATGCGCAAGTTCTTCTCCGTCAGAGGCAGCCTTTTCAGCTGCTGAGCGACCTCCTGAGGGCAGAGCAGACAGCAAGTGGGTGAACCTTGGGGGATTTCGTCGTTTCAGTGACCAAAACCGGCAAGGAGCTTCCCTCACACAGTTACCCTGGCATAAGAACATCAGAAGAGCCCTGGCTAGATCATACCAATGGCCCATCTAGTCCAGCATCCCGTCTCACACAGTGGCCAACTAGTCCCTCTGGTGGGCCAACAACAGGGCAGAGAGTCCAAGGCCTTTCCCTGACATGAACATCAGAAGAGCCCTGCTGGGTCAGACCAGTGAGGGTCCCTCTAGTCCAGCATCCCATCTCACACAGGGGCCAGCCAGTTCCTCTGGAGGGCCAGCAGCAGGGCAGAGAGGCCGAGGCCTTCCCCTGAGAAGAACATCAGAGGAGCCCTGCTGGGTCAGACCAGGGAGGGTCCCTCTAGTCCAGCCTCCCGTCCAGGGGCCAGCCAGTTCCTCTGGAGGGCCAACAACAGGGCAGAGAGGCTGAGGCCTTCCCCTGGCTCTGGGATTCAGAGAATTAGTGCCTCTGAATGTGGAGGTTCACCTCAGTCACCATGGCTACTAGCCATTGATAGACTTATCCTCCATGAATGTATCTGCGGTGGCGCAGAGGATTTATCCTCTGGTTAACATCTGAACTGAACAGTGCAGCTGTCAGTTCTAGCCCACGCTGGTGTGAGCTACCAGCCTTGTCCCCAGCTCGCCGTCCACCCAGCGGTTCAAAAGCTTCAGCGAGTAGATAAAATGGGTACCACTCCTTAGAGAAGGTGGGCACACGAAACCCCCGTCGGGGAGGTGTTAGCCGGCGAATGGAAGGTCCAGCTCGGAAGCCTGGAAAAAAGACCTCTTTGGCATTAAGAAGCTCGTGATGAGCCAATCCGGCCAGGCAGTGACAGTGTAGCACTCTGACTCAAAAAGCAGTCCGGGAAGAACTGATGTCATCTAGCCACGCCGAAAGTGAATGCCGTCTGGAACACACCTGAAGCTTACAGCTGAACAAAATCCGGGTGGAGGAGACGGAGGAACCGGCGGGATGGGGGGCGGAGAGCTTACCTGCTCCTGCTGGTTCCTCCTCCATTGGCTCAGTTTAAAGCTCCCCCACCCCCACCTCCGCTCGTTCGCGGGATATCTAAATCCACACATCGTGGGCACTTGGGGGGCAGGGAGATTTTCCTGCACATTTGGGGCAATACCCAGGTGTGCAGAAAAATCTGAAAACTTGGAAAAAATATGCGGGGGATATTTAAATACCCCCCAAAGTAAAAGAGCTCTGCTTCATAGGCGCAGGGAACACTCTGAGAATGGTTTCGCCACCGCTGCCGCCAGAAAGGGGGAGGGGGCGGGAAAAGGCTTGATCGGCCGGTAGCTGTAAGCCGCTCAACCCTCACCGCCGCCCCGGGGGGAGGGAGAAAGCTTGGCGGGCCTGAGTTCAGGCCTTGCTGCTGGTGCTGGGGGGGAGGAGGGAGAAGGCTTGGAGGGGCGTGGGCCTCGCCGTGGGTGCTGGGGATGGGGGGGCAGGGGAGAACGCTCACCAGCGGCTGCTTCCTTCTCCACCTGTGGTGCTTCTCCCCCTCCCGCAAGTATTGCGGGTCCCCCTTCTTGTTATATCTAATTCCTTTTGAAAGCTGTCTATTCCTGTGGCCATCACTACATTGTCCGGCAGCGAATTCTACATTTTTAATCTCTCTGTGTGTAAAGAAGTATTTCCTTTTGTCCGTCCTGAACCAACTGCCCATCAACTACACGGGATACTCTTGCGTTCTAGTCTTTTGTGAGATGGAAAAACATCTCTCTCTGCCAACTGTCTCCACCCCGTGCATAATTTCACAAACCTCTTTCACGCCCCTCCTTAGTTGTCTCTTTTCTAAATGGAGAAGTCCCAGGCTCTAATTTGGTAGGTACATGAGAGAGTCCCTTTCCAGTGGCAGCCCCACGATTCTGGCACGACCTCATCAGGAAGGTGCACCTGGCTCCCTCACTTTTGAACTTTAGGAGGCAGGTGAAGACTGTTTTATTCACAACTGTGTTTGGGAGGGGTGTCTGAGAGGAATCTGTGTGTGAAGGCTGAAGAGAGAAAGTCTGTGTGACGATGGAGTTCTGAGTCTAATTCTGTGTGAATAAGACCAACAGTTTAGTCTGTGTGACTAAGAGAGTTACTAGCAGTCCTGAACCGTGATTTTCAATTCAATTCAACTTATTACAGGTCTATATTACCGAAGTCTTGACCAGAAGAAAATGCAAAAGGGGGGTAAAATAGGTACATAAAATTAACATAACATATGACAAGGTGCATAATCCCAGTCACATAAAACCCAGGCTGAGCCCAGAGAGAACCGTGATTTTCAATGGTTTTTACATTTTTAAAGTGTTTTATCTACGTTGTAAGCTGCGTAGAGCACCATGAGGAAGAAAGACGGGTAATGAATGTTTTAAATAAATAAGTAAATACAATTCCAAAAAAATAGTTCTTCTCCACACCATGAGGCACCTATTCCAGAGCAATTGATTACCCCTAAAGTCAAACCATGTCATGCCACCTAGAGGGCAGGCGTATGGGCAGAGCGGGTGTTCTAACTGGGCCTTTTCCTAGACAAATCTGTGCGGGAATAAGGGCTTTTCCATATTATCATTTTCCTCGCTTCTAAATTCCTGTTTCTTGGGAGGGGGGGGGTAGTTCAGCTTTGCATGTGTTTTGCTCCCTCTAGTGGTCAATTCGAAATTACACAGGTTTATTTCCAGCATATCTCCCTGCAGGTTTAAACTGCGGATTTTTATGCTGGATATAAAGCCTTTTGTAATGATTCCATGTTTTTGTGTGTGTGTCCCTTTAAATGTTTCGTTTGACTGCAGTAATATGAGAAGGGTGATAGAGGGAGACAAGTGTGATGTGATTGGCTGGTGACTGAGAGTGTGGGAGGAGGGGTGTCTGAGAGGAATCTGCGTGTGAAGGCTGAAGAGAGAACACAGTCTGTGTGACGATGGAGTTCTGAGTCTAATTCTGTGTGAATAAGACCAACAGTTTAGTCTGTGTGACTAAGAGAGTTGATTCTATTCTGTGTGAATAAAACAAAGAGACTAGCCTGTGTGGTGATATATATGAGAGAGAGAGTATACTGAGTGTATAAGCCTGTCAGAGTTTGGAGTTTGAGAGACTGTTTGTAGCACCAAGCTTTGCCAGTTACATTTACAAGTTCCTTTCATCAGCAGCGGTTCAAAATAACCAGAAACCTATTTTGTTCTTTATTAAATGAATCAATTTTTCTTTAAACTTATCCCAGAAATCAGTACAGTTCTTCCTCAGGGCCACATAGTCCTCTGAAGTGCCCAGACCCTAGGTCATACTACCAAAAGAGAAAGAATTGGAATTCCTGGTGGCAGCAGAAAACTACCAAGTTTATATACACAGAGAGTGTTTAAAGGTAAACCCATTTCCCCTATAAGCAAGGACGTCACACCTTGTAATAACAAACCAACCACCAGAGGGAGCAAAATGTGTGCATAACAGCCCCCCCCCCCGAAACAGGAACTTACAAGCAAGGAAAAGTATGGGCAACAAGGCCATGATCAATATGGGGCTTTTCCCTCCCTGATCTGTTGTATTCCCCCCCCCAACTGAAAGCCAATATGTGATTGGGATCGGACCAGTTTACGAAAGCTGTTGTCCCATCTGTGGCTACCCACCAAAATTTCCACGCTCACCTGGATTTTGTCTTCATTTCTAGGGTCGTTCTTTGGTTTCTGCAAAGGGAATAAACAAAGTTAGGACGTTCTAGGTACATGGCTGGTCTAGCTGCCATAATAAAATTCTGGATTCTAAGTTAGGATGTCCATGGGGCGTAAAGGAGCGTCCTCTCAGGCACAAAACGTTGGCTGAACTTATATTACTTACATTCTGCATAACCTTTCTTACCGTTCCTCGGGACCCTTGCCCAGACATCCCTTAGAATCGAGGCCAGATTTAAAAATAAAAAAGAAACAGCGACCGATGCTGAATAATATTCTGCACACACACACCCCTCCCCTTCCTGCCCCAGCAGCTGGGCTGGCTCCATGTACTCAGCAACTCCATCAAGCAAATACAGAATTACAAACTGGGTGAAGAATGCAGTATTTGGAAGAGCCAGCGTGGGCAGAGAGGTTAAAGGTTTCGAGCCCTTAGACCAGGGGTCTCCAACGTGGTGCCCCGGGGCGCCATGATACCTGCCAGTGTCTTTTAGAAAATGTGGGAGGCCAGGTGGGGCTGTTGCTCAACAGGGCTACTGACAGGCTACTGGGAATACCAGCTGACAGTGCAGATTAAAATAGCACTGGGCGTTTTCACACACGTGGAATAATGCCCTTTCGATCCATTTTCAATGCACTTCAGCGATCGCTTGCGAGTGGACGTTGCTGTTCCACACAGCGACTTCCAGTTGTAAAGTGCATTGAAAGAGGTTTGGAAAGCACGTTACTATGTATGTGTGAAAGTGCCCATTTGTTTCAGCAGCAGATGCCAGCACAGTGTTGGATCTATTCTTCATTCCCAGTGTATTTTTAAAATTACCCCTCTTCTCCCCTGCACTGGGGCTTCCTCGGTGTGTTTGGCTCTGCCTCATATGAGAGCCATTTTGTGGTGGGTACTGCTTCCCATGGTGGCCATTTTGCGGCTGTGCCACTACCATGTCAGAATTCCAAAGGGGCCCACAGGCTTTAAAAGGTTGGGGATCTTTGGTTGGAAATCCCATTTTACCTCAGAGCCACCCCCACACACTGACTATTCTGTCATTCTACCATACATAAGTAAGCCAGTCTGTTCTTTGGGTCCAACTAAGATACGGGCTGCCATTCCCCAGATGGGGGTGGGTTTCCGCCCGCTTTCTGGGCCCCCAATCTGCTGATGGCCAGCTGGCCGGTGGGGAGACCCCCACCCCCAAAGAGGTGACGCCATCGCACCGGGCACGTTGCGCGGGGGACACTCTAGCATTTGGTTTAAAACTCTATAGTGACCAGAGAGTTGTTTGCCCCAGAGCTAGAGCATCCCCTTCACGACGTCACTTCTGGGTGAGAAGATCCGGGACCAGGCAGGAGCACCCCCGTCAGCAGCCAGATAAGACCTGGCAACCCTAAACTAAGAAGACTAAGGAAGGAACCTCTGGCAGCAGTGAAAATAAACAAGAAACGCTAAGAAAGGCAAGAAGAGAAGAGATTGGATTTATACCAACCCTATTGGAATGCCTGGAGTGTTGTGTTATAGCGCTATAGCGCTCTAAAGCGAACGTTAAAAAACAACTGGAGATCGCTCCTGCGCGGGCGAAAAACAGCAGGAAAAAGCAGTGCAGTCTGAAATGGCAAACCACTTCAGATCCAGCTGTTTACCGATAGGGGAAAGCCATGTGTGAAATGGCAGCCCTATACCGGTTTACTCCACGACGGATCAAAAACGGCTTCAAACCGGCTTAAAAAGGGTAATGTGAAATTCCTCATTATCTTAAAAGGAGATGGAATGAGACACTCAGTAGTTGTTCTGTGTTCCTGAGGAGGAGGAGGAGGAAGAAGAGATTGGATTTATACCCCGCCCTTCACTACCCGAAGGTGTCTCAGAGCGGCTTACAAACTCCTTTCCCTTCCCCTCCCCACCACAGACACCCTGTGAGGTAAAAAAAGAAGAAGAAGAGATTGGATTTATACCCTGCCCTTCTTCACTACCCAAAGGAGTCTCAGAGCGGCTTACAAACTCCTTTCCCTTCCCCTCCCCACAACAGACACCCTGTGAGGTAAAAGAAGAAGAAGAAGAGGAGATTGGATTTATACCCCATTTCTACCAACTAACACACAGCACAAATCCACCAGGTCCTCCTCCCGGTGTCCCCTCCACTCCCCCTGTAATGTACTGTCGCCATTACCACGTGTAGTGCATTCAGCCTGACATGCCCGGACTTGCCCGGGCTGACCAGGCAATACTCCTCAGTAGCTTCAGTCGAAAGACAAAGGATCCATAGGATCCTAGCCGGCCCAATCAAAGGGCCAGCTTCCCAGCCGGGAGACCAATGGTCGCCCGGTTACTGTAAATAGCCTATCGGGAGTAGGGGGTGTGTTTAGGTGTGCTTGGTGGCGGGTTTTCTGAACGCATATAAACCGGCCTGCGAGCTGGTTTCTTTGTCTTGTTCCTGAACTAATAAAGTACTCTTGCTGAATCACTCTTGCTGAATCACTCCACATTCTGAGTACTTTTCACTGGCGACGAAGGTGGGATCTACGACCCCATGAACAAGACCCGGACGCCAACACGAGTACCGCACCGAGCCTGACGCCGAGACCTCTCCG